GAAAAAGCTCCCTGAGGCCTCACCAGAAGCCAAGCAGATTCCACTGCCGTGCTTTCTGTACAGCCTGCAGAACTGTAAGCCCATTAAACCTCTTTTCTTTATAAATTTCCCAGTCTCAGGTATTTCTTTAAAGCAATGCAAAAATGGCCTAACACAGTAACTTTCTGTGCTATAACTTCAAGTTAAGTTCATTTAGCCAAGATAATCATGAGCTCCTAAAAGTCTAAAATAAAATTGATGCAGAAAATGGTGCAGAAAGAAGAATGCACCTTCCAAAGAATGAACATCTCACACTCCTCCTCTACCAGCCATCCATTATCAATTCTTTAATTCATTCAGCAAATATGATAAAACTTTATTACTTTATAATTTATGTGTAATCTATATTTATTTACTTTCAAATGCTATTTATTACTTATTTAAGCTTGCTTTCATTATTCACCAAATGCCATATTTTTCTGTGAAAAGAGAGGGTATCTTGGGTTGGTATAAAATGCATTATAATTTTTCCTATTAAAATTAATGAAAATATTTTCTTTTTATAGCTTTTCACTAAAGAGCAGAATTTTCCAAAACAAATTAACATCTTGAAGGGAGGGATAGGTGTACCCTATTCAAAGTTTCTAAAAGTATCATAAAACTAGAGAAGAAAAGAATTAATATCAACTCTGCGTCCCATATTTTTCAGGTAGTATTCAAGTAAATATGTGTTAGTGGATCAATCCTTAGAATAACTCCATGTGAGAAGTACCTTTTGAGAAGGTGAGAAAACTAAGACTCAATGATGTGAAATGAAGTGTTCAAGGTCATACGACTAATAAGTGGACGAGCCAGAACTCAAATCAAACATTGCCAAGTCCAATAGCCATTTCTCTGTGCTTATCTTCATTTATCATCAGCATTCAACAAAATCATCAACTTCCTCCTTCTTGAAACCCTAACCTCTCTTGCCCTCCAAATACTGTATCTCCTGGTTTATTTCATCCTTATTAAGAGTTACTACCTCTTAGCCTGCAGTGTTGAATCTACCTCTTTCACCTGACTTTTAAGTTATAGGGTTCCTTGGACTCAGGTCAGAGCCCTCTGAAATATATCTCTTTTCCTGGATGATCTTATCCATTCCCATGGATTTGAATACCATCCCTATATTGATAACTGTCAGATATATCTATACTTAGCCATGACTTCTGTGAGTTTCAGGTTTGACTGTCTACCTACTGTATTTCTTGGTATTTCCACATATATATCTCAAAAACATTATAAATTTACTGTGTCCAAAGAAAACAATTAACAAATAAATCATGATGCCTACCCACCTGAATCTGTCTGTCTTCTCCCATTTGGGTAAACAGAAAATTTGTCCATAAGTTGTTCAAGCCAGAAACCTAAGAGCCGTCTTTTTATTTTCCTTTGCATTATCCCCAATTCTAATCCATCAGCAGGTCCTGTTGTTTCTCATTCTAAGATATATCTTGAATTGCTCCATATCTCTTCAGTTCCACCTCTACCACCTTAACCCAGTTCTCACCTGAACTATGCAACAGCTGAACTATGCATTATTATTTCTCACCTGAACTACGCAACAGCTTCTCATTATTTCTCACCTGAACTATGTAACAGCTTCACTTCTACTCTTGACCTCCTCCAATCCATTCTCCATACTGTAATAAGAGTAAATGTCTTAAGACATCAAATCAGTCACTCTCCTGCTAAAAGCCTTACAGCAGGCCAGGCACAGTGGTTCATATCTGTAATCCCAGCACTTTGAGAGGCCAAGGCAGGTGGATCACTTGAGTCCAAGAGTTCAAGACTAGCCTAGGCAACATGATGAAACCCCATCTCTACAAGAAAAGAAAAAAATGTTAGCCAGGCATGGTGGGCCTGTAGTCCCAGCTACTGGGGGGTTGAGACAGGAGGATCACTTGAGCCTCGGAGATGGAAGCTCCAGTTAGCCACGATCGCGCTACTGTACTTCAGCCTGGACGACAGAACGAGACACTGTTTCAAAAAGAAAACCCTACAATGGCTTACTTTTAAGATAAAATCTTAAAATGGCACTTAAGATTAAATCCAAACTTCATTTCATGATCTAAAAGCTCTGCCTATCTTTCCAACCCCACCTTATGCCAGTCTCCCCTCTTTTCACTATACTCTAGTAAATACTGATTTTCTTTTTTTTTTTTTTTTTACCTCAAAATGTTATCTGTGTCTTTTTTTCCATAAGTTATTGGGGTACAGGTAGTATTTAGTTACATGGATAAGTTCTTTAGTGGTGATTCGTGAGATTTTGGTGCACCCATCACCTAAGCAGTATACACTGCACCATATGTGTAGTCTTTTATCCCTCATCCCCCTTTCACACATCCCCCCAAATCCCCAAAGTCGATTGTATCATTCTTATCCCTTTGCATCTTCATAATTTAGCTCCCACATATCAGTGAGAACATATGATGTTTGGTTTTCCATTCCTGAGTTACTTCACTGAGAGTAATAGTCTCCAGTCTCATCCAGGTTACTGCAAATGCTGTTAATTCATTCCTTTTTATGGCTGAGTAGTATTCCATACACACACACACACACACACACACACACACACACACCACAGTTTCTTTATCCACTCATTGAGTGATGGGCATTTGGGTTGGTTCCATGATTTTGCAATTGTGAACTGTGCCACTGTAAACATGCAAGTGCAAGTATGTTTTTCATATAATGGCTTCTTTCCCTCTGGGTAGATACCCAGTAGTGGGATTGCTAGATCGAATAAATGGTAGTTCTCCTTTTACTTCTTTAAGGAATCTCCACACCATTTTCCATAGTGGCTGTACTAGTTTTACCTTCCCACCAGCAGTGTAGAAGTGTCCCCTGTTCACCACATCCAAGCCAACATCTATTTTTTTTTTTTTTATTATGGCCATTCTTGCAGGAGTAAGGTGGTATCACATTGTGGTTTTGACTTGCATTTCCTTGATCATTAGTGATATTGAGCATTTTTTCATATGTTTGTTGGTCATTTGTATATCTTTTTGAGAATTGTCTATCCATGTTCTTAGTTACTAGAACACACTAAGCTCTTTTCAGCCTCAAGGCCATTTCACACGCTGTTCCCTTTACCTAAACCATTTCCCCATTAATTACCTAGCTAGCTCCATCTTACCCTGAATCACTACCTTTTGAGGCAGACCCACATCATACTGTCAGAGTCCCTTTTTTTCCTTATGGCACTTATTGTATTTTATAATCGTTCTATGTAGTTGTCTTTGTTGTCTACCAAACTAGAATATAAGCTCCATAAAGGCAGAGACTAATTAGTTCAATTATTTATACTGTTAATTGTTATATTTCCCATGCCTGGCACAATAAATAATAGCTCTCAATAAATACTTGTGAATTAATGAAAGCCAGGTGTGACTGATTCCAAACAAATATTCTCTCCACTATATTATGCTGCCACCTTAAAGGATCTTAGAAATCATCTAGCCAACTCTCTTGTTTTACAAATAAAAAACTGAAATCCAGAAAGACAAGTGATTAGCCCAAGGTGACACAGAATTAACTGACAGAGCCACAGTGACCCTAGACTTTCTGATTTCTGAATCAGATTTTTTCTTAGACAGCACATGGTCTTATGCTAATAGGCGCATCCAAACTATACCTAAGAAATTTTTTGCAAGTATGAGGTGGCCAAAAATATCAGAAAAAAAATTTAACAAGCATTTACAAGCTAAAATAAAACTAGAAAAAAGTACAATTATAATGGTAGTATACAATGCATTAGATTACCGAAATCTTTTACTAAATTGTTTTTAAAAGAAAAATTTGAGAATATAGACAAAATAGTCCTCTATTTTACATTATATAAATCATTTACTTCACAATATAAACAACATTTTATTTCATATGGATAATACATTCAGAATATGCCTGCTTAGAGAAATCATATATTTGCTGTTGTGGAAACAATAAATAAATAATAAAAAATTTTAAAAAGGAGAAATCATACATTGTTCCTAAAAATTTAAGTTTTCTTAATAGCTAGTAACTCTAAAATTCATATAAGTATAAAATTTGCACAATGTTGAAACTAAACAAGAAATCAAGCAAAGTATCTAGAGTTAATAGATAAAAGATAAAAGAAGGAACAGCCAAACCCAGGAATCCTACACTGCCTACTTCCAGAATTCAGTCACTGGTCTGCAAAACACTAAACCATGTACCAATTTACTCAATCCATGAAGCAATGCAGTCTACGTTGTCACAACTACACTTCCCCAGCTCCTTCCACTCCTGCAGAACTCAAATCAGGTAGCTACTAAATCATCTCAAGTTGCTCCTGTCATGTGATGACCAATGGAGAAAACTGTGATCCAACTTTTCTTTGCCAAAAATGTTTTACTTCCCCACTAAGCACATGGTGTTCATACTCACGATTCTACCCATGTGTGAATATGTTTTTTAATTTGCATAATAAAAAACTAGAAAAAATAACCTCCATCATGAACCACTTAATTGTTAAAAACATCTATGTCTCCATTTAACTCCTTCCTCATCTTCCAAAGAATTCTACATAATTTTTCAAAAGTATTAGAAATAATAAAATACAAATTATTTTACTTTTAGCATTGCAACACTATTTATTACTACAAATGATAATTAGTTGAGCTATCTTATAGTTCAAATAGGTTTATGTAGACTATCCTAGTGAACAAGAAATTATGTACTGCATTGTTGTATGGAAAAAAAAAACATCTGCTTCCATGGAACTTTTGTTTGATTTCCAACTTCCCTAAAATTACTAAACTTTCAAAGTTCTTTTCATACAATGTCATGTTCATTGTTTTTCCCTCAGAAAAATTTCCCTCATAAGAAAGAGGTTATTACAAATACCTTTGTTATTTACCTACCAGTTGTTCCAAATGTTGTGTCTTTTAATTTTCATTAGGTCTTTTACGTCTACCAGATGTGTCTCTTGCTGCTGCTCATTAGAATAAGTAAATTACCTCAGTATATACTGGACTTCTGTAGATTTCAAGGCTCTGATTTAAAAGTTGTCATTTAGAATCTGGCAAAACACTCCTGTTGGAAAAGTTTCAAAAAATAAATTTCAGTACTTTGGAGCCCTTTCCTACTCCAGAAACTAAAAAATCCTGTGTCAAACATAGATTAATGACCCACTATTAGAGCATATTACAGTGGAATGTTACTAAAAGCATGAGAAAATCATGTTTACCTTGTACAGCATGGGACCTGCTCCCATTCTGTTATGGAAAGCCTAAACCTGCATTGTCCAACGGGATAGCCAATAGCCACACGGGGCTCTTGGGTGCTAGAAATATGACTAGCCTTAATTGAGAAGGGCTGTAGTATAAAGTACACACCAGATTTTTGAAGAATATAATCTAAAATATCTCTCATTAGTAATTTTTACAATTACATACTGAAAGAATACTATTTTTGATATATTGGGTTCTAATACATTAGAAACATGAATTCCACCTGTTGCTTTTCACTTTTTTTTAGTATGACTACTAGAAATTTTTAAATTACATACGTGATTCACATTTGTGACTCAGATTATATTTCTGTAGAATAGCACTGTCTTGCTATAATAAATAAGATTTTTATAGTTAAGTTAGTTTTTGGTGTTTTATTTTCCCCAAAGAAATAGTTTATGATTAATGTGTTGTGGATAGCCCACAGGAAGCAAGGTCCTTAATGAAAACTTAAACTTTCAATGAGAATTAGAAAGAAAAAAAGAGGAGTGGGGAATAAAAGAGGAACAGAAACATTGTAGGAACAGGTAATAAACATTAACTTCCTCTCTACTCAAAGCAAAAAGTACTATATATTCAAAAACATTGTAACAGCTAAAGATGTTTATTATTATTAAAACACTGCTTAGCAAGGAAGTAAAAAACAGATAAAAACAATAGTTTAATGGTTTTGAAGTTTTACTTTTTTCCAACTACTCTCAGTTGAGGGAACAAAAATTAGCAAAAAAGAAAAAAAAAATCAACTGCTTTTCCCTGTATCAAATGATAGGTAGTAAGAAATTCCGAAGTTCTAGTCTCCAAAGAATAGTACTATAATGTTTTTTTAAATAAGCATCAGAGGCCAGGCATGGTGACTCATGCCTGCAATCCCAGCACTTTGGAAGGCCAAGGTGGGAGAATCAAGTACAGGCCAGGAGTTCAGGGACAGCATAGCCAACATGGTGAAACCTTGTCTCTACTAAAAACACAAAAAATTATCCAGGCATGGTGGTGCATGCCTGTAATCCCAGCTACTTGGGAGGCTGAGGCCCAAGAATTGATTCAGCCTGGGAAGCGGAGGTTGCAATGAACCGACATTGTGCCACTGCAGTCTAGCCTGGGTGACAGAGCAAGACTCTGTCTGGGAAAAAAAAAAAAAATGCATTAGTAGTCAGGTGTGGTGGTATGCACCTATAGTCCCAGCTACTAGGGAGGCTGAGGCCAGAGGATCACTTGAGCTTAGGAGTTGGAGGCCAGCCTGGGAAACATAGAGAGAACCCATCTCTAAAACAAAACAAAAAAAGGCATTAGTAAGGCTGGTCAGTACTCATACATCATTTTCTTCTGAGAAAGTTCACTTGCTTCATATTAGTGATCATTTCATTTCAATGGTCATAAAGGAACAGTTCAAATTTTATGGTCTGAGCATATGGGAGTATAAATTGGTACAAGCAGTTTGGAAAACCTTTTGGCATCATTATCTACTCCTAAGCATATCCCCAACAGTAACACATGCACATTTATATAAAAAAATATACAAAAATGTTCATAGCAGCGTCATTCATAATAAGTCAAAAACTGGAAACAACTCACATACCCATCGACAAATGAACTCATACAATGGCATACTATATAGAATAAAATGAACCAACCACTACTATAAAACAATAATGATTCTCATAAATATAACATTGTGTAAAGGAAGCTAGATATAAAAAATATACTGTATGATTCTATTTAAATAAAGCTCGAAAACAGAAAAAAAAAACTAATTTATGATCTTAAAAGTCAGGATAGTGACCTTTGAGAGGGTCATAGTAATTGGGAGGGAAGGAAGGAGTCAGCAGCACCGAAATTGTTTTATTTTTTGACCCAGGTAGTGGTTATACAGATATGTTCATTTTGTGATGAATGAGCTATATACGCTTATGATTTGTATACTTTTCTGTAAGTCTATTATGTTTTCATCAAAATATAATTCAAAAAATAAAATCTATAGTTATATTAAAATTTCATTTTGTATTATGAATTAAAATATTTGAAATTAGGAATATTTTTGCTAAATTGTTTTTTAAATGTGGTTTTATCCTTAAGATTACTTTCATATTTATTAAATTCATAGAATCACAGAGCATTACAGATGGAAGAAACTTAGAATAAACTAGTTTGACTCTGTGAGAAGTTAGGTGACTTGGCCAAGATCATATCAATATCAGTAATGAGACTAAAATGTAGAACTTTCATATTATATTACAGAACTTTTTAAGTTTTTAATTTCAGAGAGTTAGACTCCATTAGAAAGAACTAGGGTTTCTTCTGAAATCTTGATTTATAATGCTAAAAGAAAAAAATCTACAAGTCACCAAATGTTATTCATTTTTCTATTTCTTTGATAATAAAACAATGAATAAATCATAAAACAAGGAAGGAAAATCATTCTTGGCTGTTTGAAGAGGAACTGTATAAGAATTGGTAACCTATGTCCTTCGTACATCTTTTTGAAACTTACTCTTCATGAAGACAGATATAGAACATTTGTGTTCAATTACTGTATTAAAAACAGCATAGTCTCAATACACACTACCCTCTTTCTCTTACTTTTTGCAGCTTGTTTGTAAACAAGTTTGGCAGTAGCACAATCAAGAAGTATTGATTCCTTCTAGAAATGCACCTACATTTGAGCTATACACAATTCACAAAAATTCAAGGATATAACCACTTATTCTCCTCGTTTCCTTCAGACTTTAAAATATGGCAACTCTTCCTCTTTGTTCTTTTTTTTTTAAGCTTTTCTTCTGGCTCAGAAACGTAAAATAAGCTATGACAACATCCTTTATATCCATTCTTTTCCTGTTTTTCTTTTTTTTTTTTTCTTTTCCAACCATTTTGTTTTAGGGGAGGGAAAAGAAGGAGAGTTCTAAGAAAAGCTTTTTGTAACAGGTTCAAAAGTATAAAAGCCATTTCAAGCTCCAGACATTTGTAGTCTTTATTTCTTTAGTCCTTGAAAGGGCTTTTTAAATGTTAACAGCTAAGATAGGACTGCTTTCCTATACTGATGTTCCAGGCTTCATTTCCTTTGTAGTCTTGAGTTCCTCCCCATCCTCAATCCCCTGGTAACCTCCATGCAGGCTTCCTTTTCAAAACAAAACAAACAACAATTTTTATAAAAAAATATTTCATTCCTCATGATATACATACAAGCAGACTTCTAAGATCCCATACACAATGGACACCTCTAATGATTTAGAGAATTAAAATATTTTGCTTGAATTTCTTCCATATTTGGTGATTTAATGTGACCATTTATGCTTTCATTTCTAAAATAATAACATGTCACCTGCAAAGTTATTACAGCTAAAATAGCTAACAAGAAGCTTTGTTGACCTCCCTCTTCAGGAATGCTGAAATGTAATCGTCAAAAAATATCAGCCAAAACAAGTTCATTTATGTATTTAAATTTTTTAAATCAGTATGTACATATGATCCTGGTTCAGAAATAAATTGCATATATGCCAAGAAACAAGTCTGAAACACTGTATTCCAAGGTCTTAATAGTGATTACTATTCCTGAGTGGTGAGATTATAAATGTTTTTATTTTTAAATTTTATTCTTGCTTCTGAATATATTTTAATTTATCTTCAGTGTACATGCATTGTTTGTGACGATGGAAAATATTACTCTTCATTTTAAAAAGAAATGCTGTTTTCTTATTTTTTAGCACATCATATAGGTACTTTAAAACATCCACATATATAGGCTGGGTGTGGTGGCTCATGCCTGTAATCTCAGCACTCTGGGAAGTTAAGGGGGGTAGATTGCTTGAGCACAGGAGTTAAAGACCAGCCTGGGCAACATGGCAAAACCTTTCCTCTATTTTTAAAATTAAAAAAAAGAGAGAGAGAGAGAGACAGAGAGAGAGAAATCCAAAGGTATACATTTATAATTAACTACTTAATTATACTTATATAACTACTTATTACACAGGTACATAATTTTCAAATATAATTTCTAAAACTGTAAAACTATAAGTCATATAAATATAAAAACAGCATGAGTCAAAATGTTAAGTGTCAAGGAGTTTACTTAACTGAGTAATTAATGAGGAAACCAGTTATTTAAAACCAATTCATTATAGAATTTGACTTACAGAAATTTGTATTCTCTACTGGATAAAGTCCATTTGCATTGCCAAGAATAGGAATCATTTACATTGTTATGGGCCAAAATCATTTGCATCCTTTTCAGATGCATAAAATTTCTCTTTTATCCCTACAGAGTTGTAAAATAGCCTAGTCAATCAAAGATGATCAAAAGTACACACTCATTTAGAATCAGATAATCCCTGGAGAGTCCCTACACATTCAGCATTCCCCTGAAAGAAAACCCAGTTATCAGTTTTGCCTGCTTCCAAGTTTTTGACAAATTTTCTTGATATAATTTACTAATTAGTAAACATGCTTTCTTACGTATCACCTAGAAATGTTTAGTAAAGTTTTCTGTACCTTGATATAATCAAGGCATATCAGAGAATATTTGAGGTTAGTATAAACTTTAGAAACTTCACACCAGGCCAGGTACAGTGGCTCACACCTGTAATGCCAACATTTTGGGAGGCCAAGGCTGGAGGATCACTTGAGTCCAGGAGTTCAAGGCTAGCCTGGGCAACATAGTGAGACCTCACCTCTACAAAAAATAAACAAAATTAGCCATGCAAGGTGGTATGTGCTTGTAGTCCAGCTACTAAGGAGGCTGAGGTGGGAGGATTGCTTGATCCCAGGAGGTAGAGGCTGCACCACTGTACCCCAGCCTGGGCAACAGAACAA